ACAATCACTTTTATCTCCAATATGCAAATGCAAACTCTCCAAAAGCGGAGCTTTATGATAAATCAAAGTCCCGTAAATATTCTCTGAAAATGTATGCTCATCATGATAGTCAGAATCAAACTTGAGTTTTGGCACCATTTTCCAAAGAGATCTCCAACGTCTAGACAAAACACTCGTGATTACGACATTTTCTGTTGGAAGTGAAGATAATATATGCAGAAGCAAAGCTTCAGGCAACTCACTGATTCTGTCCTTATTCACAACATCTCGATTTCTTAAACTTTCACCACCGATTTTGCTGTCAAAAACCAAATGACAAAAAGATACAAAGAGTTTTAGGATACAAAGAAATTAGGGTTGGATCTTTACAGCTAGCTAAAAAAAACCATACATAGAAAGAGATTCTGAGAAAAACATAAACCAAACAAAGAAACATACCATTTTTGTTCCACTGTCGTTGACAGAGACAAGAATTTGGGGAAAATATCCTTAAGATTACGAACGCTCCAAACTCAAATGAAAACGCAGACTAACACACGAAATGATAAGTCAGCTTCAAAACGATTCACCTGTGTTTGATTAGCAGAAGGATCAGCGAGTCACATAACCCTAAAAGAGTGACAACAGTGACAAGATCGCATAGATTCCGGAGAAGAAAAAAGACGAAAAACGGAAAAGGTCGACAGGTCTTTGGTTATTCACAAGCAAAAAACAAATAAAAATTTAAAAGAATTTTTTAAATTAGGTCTTGGGTATATAGGCCAAACATATATAGTTGAGATTATTATATTCAGGTCTCTTGGTTTGTCTGAATTCTTTAGATTGTAAGAATCAATTTACAATGTTAAAAAGGTATAATGATGAAAACAAAATTAAAATGTGGTGGTTATAGTTTTGTTAGTCGAAATAGGGAGTTTTACTAAAACAACTTTAGAAAATTAGATTTTTGACCAAAATGATGATATTCTTTGAAAATTACTCAAACAACCTTGAAAAACTATTAATAGCCGTTTTAGTCTTATTTCCTTTGAAGAAAAAAAATGTAATTACGAAACTGTCATTAATGAGGCAGCGAATAAGTCTACCTTTCATGTGATGGTAGATTTATTTGCGATTGGTAGATTTATTAAGTGGTTGGTAGACTTATTGATGGTTCGCGCAATGGTAGACTTATTTATAGTAGTGGTAGATTTATTTATAGTAGTAGTAGATTTATAATATGTGGTAGACTTATTTATAGTCGTGGTAGTGGTAGATTTATAATATGTGGTAGACTTATTTCTCGTAGTAGTAGAGTTAATTTTGTGATCGGTAGACTTATTTCTAGTGGTGGTAGAGCTAATTTTGTGATCGGTAGATTTATTGATGGTTCGCGTAGTCGTAAATTTATTTATAGTAGTGGTAGATTTATTTTTGAGT